AATAAGTTATAACTGAGTATTAAATGTTACATATAAATAGCACAAATACACTAAAGAACAGGTGAGGGTACAGCACAGTTGATTCAACTGATCAGCCAATGGGTTTCAATACTTGTTTCAAAACATACATGTACACTCTACAGGAGACACAAAATGCACTTCAGCAGCTGTAATAGCTGCTGTTGCAGTTGAGTCCACATCAGTCAAATATTCCTTGTTTAAAAAGGCATGCAAATGAGGTGAACAGGTCAATACAGAACAGAATTGACCCTTTCGCCTCATTTGCAGGCCATAACCAGTGACACCTGTTACAGCTGAGTATGCTTGATTTTCCCTTGATGCTATGGGTGAAATTATTGTCTGTTGCTGATAGAATTCAACCAAAAAGTAACAAGTTTGCTACGGGTGTGGAGAACAAGGCTACAGGTGACTCAAAATGCAATGACAGCCCTGATTTGTTTGTCAAACTGCTGATAGCTGCAATAACAGCTATTAATAATTATAGCTTATTGTAGGCAGGATTACTTTGAGCACAGATCTGTTGGTTATTTAACATTATTACCAACAATAAGAAGTCCTGTATCATCAAGTCAATCTTCTGATTAACAGTTCATGTCAGTACATGTAACTGCCCTAGTTAACAGTGTTTCCGCCAGAGCACGCCATTGTGGGAATCCCGCGCTGCAATCAGAGATGGCCCCTTGAAAAAGGAGAAAAGGGCCAATTTGGCCCTTTCCTTTTACGAGACTTCAGGCTTAACACAGGCATAGTATTTTAAAAGCCATCCCAAGGCTCAAAATTGCGACCGATACAGTCGCCAATGTAACTAATAATTCATCCTTGGTGACCAAAAATCCTGGTTTAGTCGCCATAATGGAGGTAATAGTGACTACATTTCTCTGTGTTGATGATCAATAATGGCTATTTTGTCACACATTTTGTCCTTCTAGAAAATCATATTGAAAGATCTTTGCTTCTAAAACATTCAACATAAGAAAAGAAGTCAATCCGTCCTTTTGCTTTGCTGCAGTATTGATTCGTGTATGAAATCGCCCTATAATGCATTGCAAACCCTTGATCATTGACTACGTTGTGTATGCCTAAGGATTGTTCTCTTGTAATGCACGGATCCCTCATACTAGTATCTGATTCAAAAGAAACTTTATTGAGTAGAGATACTTCAAAAAGCACTTATTAAATTTTATCATAGATCCTAATAAACTGCTTTATTTTCCTTGGTACCTGATGCATTTTTTCCTTCTGTAGCTTTCAATTTATTGGCCCCTTTCCTAAAAAATTGGCCCCTAAAAA